AGGAATTTGAGAAGCGATTTCAAGATTTTAAGAGAATTGAGCAGTCACTAAATATTTTTTCGATGCTTTTTAATGTTAACGTTGATGAAACACCCGCTAACCTCCAACTTGAACTAATTGAGATGCAATGCAATACCCATCTGAAGCAACTATTTCTCAACACCAACAAATTGGAATTTTATAAGTCCATATCTAGACACAATACCCAAATATAGTTGCCCACGCTCAAAAAATAATGGCTATGTTTGGTACAAGCTATTTGTGCGAACAAACGTTTTCAATAATGAAACTAAGAAAAAATTGTCTTCGTAATAGGCTTTCGGATGACCACCTTTTTTCACTGTTAAAAATTTCAGCATCACAAATGGAGCCGGCTTATGATGACATCATGCAGAAACAAAAACAGTTCCACATGTCACATGTCCCTACAAAGACCAGCGCTCCTCATCCTTCTACTTCGCAGACAACTTAAAAGTTTAATTTAATTGCAATTTCTTTCTTGTATTAATATTTTGTAATTTTGCACAATAAATTAGTGTTTCAGAAAATACATATCATAATTTTTATTTCAATAAATAATATAGCCAAAAAATCAACAACTTGGCCCGCCATATATTTCGTTAGTAAATATTGGCACGCGGAGGAAAAAGTTTCCCCATCCCTGTTCTAGAGACACACTTAACTTCATATTTAAATAAATACAGTTTATCTAACAATCAGTATGGATTTAGAAAAAAGAAATCTACTGAGGATGCTTTATTGGCTCTGACAGAAAAAATTAACAATGCTCTTGACACAAGCAAACCTTGTCCTTGCGTGTTTCTGGGACTCTCAAAGGCATTTAACACCGTCAGTCATCCTTTGCTTGTTGATGCTCTAGAGAACTATGGTATAAGAAATATTCCTCTGAACCTATTTAAAACCTACTTAAATGGAAGAACACAAATGGTTAGAGTGAGTAATACATATAGTTATTTCTTGCCGGTAAGATATGGAGTTCCCCAAGGTAATATTCTAGGCACACTTCTTTTTAATTTATACATTAATGATCTATTTTCAATTAAATCTAATGGTGAGACTACAAATCACCTTTCATTTTTATTAGGGAAAATCGAATTTTCCATGTGTTATCCCCATGTGTTATCCCCACTCGTAAATTTCCTTTCAATCTGCTTAAAATCGATGAACTTCGAGGCTTGTATGCGAAAATGGGGCACCTAAACCTGTCACTATCTGACGGACGATGAGCATTGAATTAAAAAAGCATGTCTAGGATCATTAATTTTATTTTATTTCAATAATTTCTTAATTTTAAATTCTTAACTTTCTCTGGATTCCCGTTTCCATTTTCTTTAGCTGAGGGTCCTGACAAAGGTTCTTTAAAAGTTCATATTATTCTCATCCTCAGTAGTGGGTAATTCTTGTTGGTCTTCATCGTCGTCCTCGTCAACGGGCATGTCATTAAGACATTTTCCGTGGTAATGGATGCACGCCGCAGAACAGTTCAACATTGCTTTCCAGCATCCACATTTGCACTACCTCAATCCTTGGTGCATCGGCAAAATATTGTTTTTAGTAGGACCTCCGGTACTGGTGAATTTTCTGTTGTAATTGGCACCGCAGTATCTCCTACATGTTTCTACCCCCACTTTTGAGAGGGAAGCTCATTCCGAAACCATTTCTGCACTTTGTGGTAGGTGTGATGAGAATCTATTTTCTGAAGATGAAAATAATGTCATGATATCCCTATCCGACCCTGTTCCTGTGTACGCACGCCAAAAGGAATGTTCGAGAGCCTCTCGTATTTTCCAGTAGCGGATTTGGACTAATATAAATAGCCGACGTATCAGCGCCGAGTTTAGTTTAACGTAGAACATTGTATTGAAAAGTTAAATTGTAAGAAATAAATTAGAATTGTTAGTTAGTGTCTAAATATTACATAAAATAAATAGTACGTCTGCAATAAATTGTAAATAGTGTGTTTTCAAATAAATATACTTTAAATAAATTAGACTTTCGTCACAATAAGTCAATAAATTTCCGAAAGCTTGGACCATCTTTAAAGAGTTTTATTTTATTTAGGAAGATGTCTTTCTCGGACGAATAGTTTAGACTATAAAGGCATTTTGTGGAACAATGTGAGTTAAAAGTATGTTTTTAGAAAATTTTCGAAATTCCAGAGGGTGCAGCTCGAGAGCGGTTGAGAATTCAAAAAAAGTGTTGGATAATTTTATCAGCTTTCACTTAATATAAAAAAAAAATTCCTACGACGCACCGTTTTCGTTATATAAACAAAAACCCAAAAGAAGGATCTTCTTCGTGTCTCCTCGCATCCGACTTACTTCCCCTTCCCAGATCTCAGAACTTTTAGTTTGTTCACTCCTTAAGCACCCTTAAGTTTCTGAATAAATCTCTAATGTTGGCCTATATTGCAAAAGTTGCCAAATGGTAGGGTGAAAATTAAAAAAAAAAAAAATTTAAAGTCCCCTTCAAAAAAATTTTAATGGCCTGGGTGGTATAAATTGTCAGGCGCCCCACCACTCCTAAAAATTTGAATATAATTCTTCTTTTTTGACAACAAACTGAGTGGAAAAAGTTGTTAAATGGCCGGGTACGTACTTTTCGGCCAAAAAAAAGATTATCATAATTTTGTAGAATTTAGAATACAATTTTGTATTTTATTTTTAATAAATAATTTCTGGATGTTTTTCTTTTATTTTATTTCTGGTGCTAGACTTTTTTCATTTTCTTATATTTATTTTAACAAGGTATTTGTTTTGGTTACAGGTTACTAAGACAGAATGAATTCAGACAAAATATCCACAAGAAAATCCTCTATTTGCCCAACCCCACCGAGATGTCTCTACAATGCTAACCTAATAAGAAATTTTCTCCTGGTCAGAATACAGACAAAATGCCTTATGGCAAACAAAGACCCACCTTCGTTATTGATTTTTAAAAAGGTCGCGAAGTCGTTGGAACTTATATGGAACAAGTTTTCTGTTCCAATAATTTCAAGCAATAAAACCGTTGAAAAGATAACGAATCTTAACAACGAATACAGAAAGATTTTAAAATCATATAAGAGTAGAAAAGAATTTGAGAGCTACAAAATCAAACTGGACGATCTGAAATGCAAGTGGACATTGTCTGCTGCAAATGCAACACTTTTGCATCATGGATTCTGTTCAAAAGAAAGGTTTCAGTAAATGAAAGAACATTTATGACCGATCAGCGAAGTACCAGAACTTTGATAATAGGACCAGTGGACACAAAAACTACAAAGTAGTTGCAAAAAAGAGAAGAAAGAAAAATGAAACGAGAGGACAGCCCGAAAAAAGAGTCGCTTCCATCTAGCTCCAAAGTAATGCGTGATTCGAAAGAGTTTAAAAGCAGTTATTCATCGGAAAACGAAGAGAAAGAGTAGGAAAGAAAAGAAGAAATCAGAAAAATCAGTGACCGGAAAAAATCGGAAAAGAAATAAGCGCAGAGGAATATCCGTACAGAAAAAAGCGCACAATTATAAAAGCGTACATGGAAAAAAGTGCAAAAGTGGATTTTTTGTTTAATATTTTTTTTTGGATAATCTTCAATTGAATAATATAAAACAATATTGCAGTTTACTGAATTTACGGTGGAATTTATGTTTGTATTAATATATTGTTTCTACGATCACTATCCAAAGTAGGCTTTTGCACATTCAAATCGTTTTCCACGAATTGTCATAATTTGACATTATTGGCGCACACGTGCGCCAAAGTAACTTTGGCACACGCTTGTCTATTTTCATTTGAATTAAATAACAGAAAGCTAATCGGTATTTTAAAACAAAATGTAGACTAATCTAAAATATTTTAAATGAGTTCCTAATATTTTAAATCATCCAACAGTATTTTCCGTAAATAATTAAATCATAAATAATTACCGACAGATAAGTACTAAAACCTTTTTTCCCTTCGAAGAGTAGGCTTATGTCAAATAAACTTACAATATTATAACGAAAGAAGGTAACCCATTTCTAATTAAATAAAATTATTTATTTTATTTTGGTGTAATCGTAGAAAAAATCTTGTGTAATTCGAGCAGAAATTTCTTTGGCAGTTTCGACAGATGCAACATCATCATCTCACTGGGAAATCGTACCACTGTATTTCAGGCAGAAATATATGCAAAACAGGATAACCATAAAACCCCAAACTCACTGGCAACAGATAAAGAGCGCACAGAATCAGTAAGCTCATGCTAAGGGGACTAAACCCACCTATGACTACTAAGCTACAGCTCGCAAGGCCTCAGATATCTACCATTGTGGGATTACTAACGGGACATTGCTTGCTGAAACACCTTCATGTGATGGGATTACATAATGATCCCATCACGTGTATACTGGGCATAGAAGAGGAAGAAACCTCATATCATGTGATCTTTGAATGCGAAGCTCTTGCTAGGCGGCGTCTCTCTTTTCGCCCTAGAACCGGAAAGAACGCCCCAGGAACACTTTGTACAGAACTCAGTAAAACTAACCAAAGGCCCAGGCCCAGAGTACCTGAATATGGGGAAAGCAGGGGAATACAATAGACCCAAGAGGCCGCAGTGTTCTGTGGCAAATATAACCCTACTTGCTTATAACTGACAAAGACAAGGATAAAAAAGTTTTTAGGATATCCTTTTGTTTATTAATTATTTAACTTATTTTTCTCCCCAGAAACTACCTACTTATGTGTTAAATATATACTCATGAGCGTTCAAATACAGGTACCATTATATTTTACATTTTTTTTAACAGAAGTAATCCTTTTTTAACAAGAAAATAATAAGGAAAAAAAAGTTTTTAGGATGTACCTTTTGTATATTAATTATTTAACTTATTTTTCTCCCAAGAAACTACATACTTATTTGTTAAATATATACTCATAAGCGTTCAAATAAAGGTACCATGATATTTTACATATTTTTTAACAGAAGTAATCGTTTTTTAACAGGAAAATAATAAATACATAAAAAATTATATATTTTATTTGGTATAAAGAATGACTAATACTTAAAAACAACATATTTATTGTTTCTTTTTCTTTTTATATTTTCTCCTGTCGTCCTCTGAACTCTCACTTTCACTGCTTGTTTTACTCCGTTTTTTCGTTTTCTTATTTCTATTTCTTTTTTCGTCCTCACTGTCACTTGAATCGCTTTCACTAGAATCGCTCACTTCACTTTCTGAACTTGAACCAGATGATTTTTTATTCTTCCTCTTCTTCTTCTTCTTAGCAGTTTCTTCTTCACTACTATCACTACTGCTGCTGCTGCTGCTGCTACTACTACTACTAGAATATTTCTTTTTCTTCTTTTTTGACCTTTTTTTCTCAATTTCACTTTCAGATGAATCGGATTCAGAATTCGTTGATTCTCCTTTTTTCTTCTTTTTATATTTACTTATTCCATCACTGCTAGTGCATTTGACATCTCTATTTTTCTTCTTTGATTCTTTTTCTGCAATTTCGCGCTTGAAAGACTCATTATTATCGCTGTTGGACTTTTTTATTGGGTTCTTGTATTTAGTAGTAATTTCCTTTTCTTCTTTATAATGTTTATGTGTATCATCTCTCTCCTTTTCCGACATCCTTGATTTCCGATGAGAATTACTGCTGCTTCCAAATCTTTCATTTTTCGGTTCCCTTTCGAGATATTTTGAGGATAAATGACCACTTCTGTTGTAACTGAAATAGATTTACATTTTTTAATTTGAATATACTTATGATAAAAATTTCACAATTAAAATTTTGAAATTATTCTCAACTTCACAAAAATCAAACTTGATAGTCCCATCAAACTGTGAGAGGTATTACCTAAATGAAGAAAAACTAATAGTTTTGTATATATACAATTTGAACATTGAAGCTAAATTTTAGGATTTATTATGATGGCTAAGAGGACAAATGTTGTATGTCCAAAAATGTGTCCCATACAGCACACATTATTTCAGAAATGTTTTAGAAATATTTCAAACGTTTCAAAAATATAACATTTCAAGCAGAAGTTTCTGAAATATTTCTGAAATATTTTAGTTAAATATTTCACTGAAAATGTTTCTGAAACATGGTATACATGTTACACAAAAGGTTACTAAACGGGTTATGTTGTAAAAGGCCAACAATTAATAAAAAAAAATTGATTTGTAAGAAGAAATTGGTATATGTAGATATTTTATCATTGTCCAGCCACCAGCTAGAAATAAGCATATATTCTAAATAATTATAGATTTGAGTTGGTATTTGATATTCATCATGCAATGTGAACTTGTTATATGGGAAGCAGAATCTGTATTTAGAAATTAAGACATAAATAATGCTTGCTTAGGTGGATCTTCATCTTTTGTTTAGACGTGAGCATTGTTTTATTATATACAGTTAATTTAAAACAATATTAATAAAACTATTGTTAATCAAATAATTTGTCTAAATTCTTTTTAATTACCTATATTTTGTTTCAGATTAGTGCATTTAAAGGAATTGGTGGAAATTAAGTAATTTGCCAGCTTTGGGGCTGTGCCAGTAAAAATAACATACAAGTTATTCAACGTTTCCGGAATAAAGTATTAAGGAACATCGTCGATGCATCCTGGTACTGCCGTAATAGTGACCTTCATAGGGACCTTAAAGTGGGGACTGTTGAAAATACAATACAAAAATTTGCCAGTAGTCACCAACAACGACTGCTCCAACATGGAAACCTTGAGATTATCCAGCTCCTCAACAATGCCAATCTAATAAGAATACTCAAGAGAACCAGGCCTTTTGAGTTAGTTCTGCGATGTTAGATTAAAACAAAGTATACTGCGGTTAAGTAGGTAGTGTTAAGTGTAAAATAAGTGCTATACGTTAACGGTAGTGTAACTAAATAGACTCTAAGTACACTATATAGTGAGTAGAATCTTAGTTTATGAAGTTTTTCATCCCTTGATAAATTAGGTAAAAATAAAATTGCTAATTGATGTTAATGATTAGATTATACACTGGCAGAATTAACCGCCCATCCAATGTTTTGTTATTTAGTTGGAGATATTTGTAATTTTGATTTTTTTTTTACTTTTTAATGTCTAGGTACATCTTGAAAAAGCAAACAAATACCAATCAAATGAAAGTTTTTGTTTAATTTTAGAAAATAAAAGAAAAACAGTTTTTGAAAATTTTTAACTTTTTGAATAAGATGAGCTATACATAAAATTTATCGACAAAAAAGTATTGTTATTAACAAAATTCACTTTAGTAACGAGTGTTACCCCCTCTTGTCCTGATCACATCACTAAGCCTGCATGAAATGGCTTGAATCTCAGCTTGTGGAATGTTTTCCCATTCTTCCACTGCAGCAGTTTTCAGCTCTCGAATAGTGGTTGGAGCTGGTCTTCGTGCTCGAATCCATTTTTTTAGGTTGACTCAAATGTGTTCAATTGGATTGAGGTCTGGACTCTGTGCTGGCCACGGCAAAGTTTTAATGCCAACGTCGTTAAGGTATTGCGTAACCACTCGAGCGACATGACATCGTGCGTTGTCTTGCTGAAGAACAAAGTCTTCGCCAATATATGGCGCAAAAGGAATGACATGTTCTTGAAGAACTTCTTGAACATACCTGTGAGCGTCTACAGCCTCTAGCAAAAATTACCAGATCCGTACGAGCCTCGTAAGAAAATCCGCCCCATATCATTATTGAGACTCCTTGATAACCCACAGTTTCCATAAGAGCACAAGGAGTAAACTGCTCTGTCGGGCGTCTGTATACACGCTGGCGGCCATCTGGACATTTTAAAGCAATTAGGCTCTCGTCAGAGAATAAAGCATTCTTCCACTGATCCATATTCCACATACTGTATTCACGCGTAAAACGGAGTCTAGCTGTTTTGTGATGCGGGCGAAGCTGAGGGGCTCGGTAAGGGCGTCTCGCTATAAGATTTATTTCTGCCAATCTCCTTCTTATGGTTCTCTCGCTGACCCCCACATTTCTAACCTCAACAAGACGAATACGGGCTTCAACAGCGATACAGAACCGATCTCTTAATATCGTGCTCACAACAAAACGATCGTCCCTCATTGAAGTGCAGCCTTCTGGGGTAAGAACCTGTCTCTCGAAAACGCCTTATAGCATCTCTGACTGTTTCACGAGTAGCATCAAGTATTCCAGCAATACGACGTTGACCATAACCTTCATCAGATAGAACTACAGCCTTGGCTACTGATTCTGCTCCCAATAGCATTGTTTTGAATAAAACTGTTTTGAACTTAAACCGATTTTACAAAATATACACCAACACTAAACAAGTCTAATTAAGTCTAATAAAGAAAAAAATTGTAAATACACTAACATTAAACAAGCCAAATTGGAACCAAATTACTAATAAAAAGCAAAAGAATGACAGCACTGACAGTTAAACATTTATTTACTATCAAAATGTCACGTCATATCAATTAATGTCAAAAAGTGACGAAAATCTCCGAAAATTTCAGAAATAAATAAAAATAAATGGGTGGGCGGTTAATTCTGCCGCTGAGTGTAATAATCGTAAATGTTTCATTACTTGGAGCATTTATTTAAAAAAAAAACCTGGTTTCAAATTAGTACATTTAAAGAAATTGGTGGAAATGAAGCAATTCACTTCTATATTTTATGAAATATTCTTTAAAACATATTTATTTGTTTGTTTGTTTAAGAATCAATGTTTGAGTTTTGTGTATTTTAAATAAGCATGTATATTTTTAATTTTTTTTTTTTTTTTTTAGTCAAATAATCTATAATCATTTCTAAAATATTACTATTTAATATTTCTAAAAGATTTCTGATTTTCATTTCAGAAATATTACTGTGAAATATTAAATTTAAAGGACATTTTTACGTTTCAGGCATATTTCAGAAATTTTTCTGGGATGTTTCGTAATGTAACATTGTTGAAATATTTCCGAAATGTATTTGTGCTCTATGGGGTCATTTTGAGTAAAATCGATTTGAAAGTTGGAGGTGACTATGATGAGCTGTATAATTATTACTATTAGTACTATATTTGAAAACCATAAATTTAATCATGAAGAACATAGAATCCTTCCTGTACCATTTTTGGCAAAAATGGACATACAATATTTGTCCTCTTAACCATCGAATTTATTGTAAATAATGTAATTCTTGCTTCTGTGCTGCACATGTTTTTAGTACAATTTATTTTTCAAAAATTTTAAAATATACCTACATATTTGTACCATAGTTTTATAATGAGTTGTGGTGAAGAATCCTGAGGTGCGACTTTTACAATTTTAGCACTAATATATTGAAATAACTTTTTTATAATATTTTAACTGAAATTAAATATGGAAGATTAAGTTTCAATTGCCATTTTCATTTATATTATATTAAAATGCAATATTTTGACTGATTTAACCTAACTTTTCATCATTTCCTTCCATTAAACTGAAAATAAAGTGATTCATGAAATTGTCAGTTCTTTACACATACGGTCCTTGAGTTTGCAATGTTGCCATACTATAATGTTGATTTTTATCACTGTCTGATAATTTACAAGTTAAAGCCACCCTACGAAAATTCGTTGCTTCGTCTTTTTGTTGTATATTTCCTTCTTTCGATTCTATATTATTGTTAGTTTGTCATGGGAATTTAGCGCTACATTATTAAAGTCTATTCAGATTTCATTTACGCCGCGTCAAAACAATCTCTCCCATCCAGCAACAGCTCACGTGGCATTTTCTTTGCGCTTCTATTGGTTAATCGGTCGTTAGTCATTTAGACGACGCAGAGTCGAATTCAGTTCAATTTGGATAATGTTTTGTTTTTGTGGTTGTTAGTTTGAACATTTTTTACTCTATTTTATGGACATTTAATTGACTATATTTTGTAACTGCTGCGTGACACTTATGTCCTCCACAGATACAGCAGATGAAGTCCAGAAAAATGTTTTTACTCCTTCTAAAAAGCGACCGAAAAAGGGACATTTGGTCATCCGTACTAAAGAAATGGTTCTTAATATTTATAAGCATTAAATTTTATAGAACCCTGATATGTTGGTACATGATGTTGAAAGGAGAGTTGCTGATAAAACAGGGATGTGCGCTAAAACCGTTTTTAATGTTATGAAGAAGTATAGGCAGATTCATAAATTTTCTGAACCAAAAAGAAAGCTACGTTATAAACAAATTAGTGGCTCTGTGGATGATTTTGATAAAAATGTATAAGGCGCAAAGTACATCAATTCTTCTTTAGAAATTAACTTCCAACAATCGATAAGGTTTTATAAGAAGTCAACGATGATCCATATTTGTCTACTTTTAAGCGAGCTACATTTTACAAGCTTTTTAAAACCCTTAATTTTAAATTTAAAACTCTAGGAAAAAATAGTTTGCTTTTAGACAAAATGAAAATTGTTTCGTCATACGCCACAAAAAATAAAACGGTACAGAGAAGAAAAGCAAAAAATATATTATCTTGATGAGACTTGGATTAACGCAGGCCACACCAAATCAAAAGTATGTTTTGATATGTCGGTTTTATCATCCAGACAAACCTTTTTGGATGAACTTTTAACTGGTTTTATAAACCCATCAGGTATGTGCGTAAAAACAGCTCATTATATGCCATATTGGAAGTGAAGAAGGCTTTGTCTCTAATGCACTTTATGTATTTAAGTTGAAAAATCCGGTGACTATCATGAAGAAATGTGTGGAGAATCGTTCAAAGAGTGGTTTTCAAACACCCTACCAAAATTAGAAGATAACTGCATTATTATTCGAGAAAGCTGGAAAAAATACCTACAACGACGTCTAAAAAAAGGTGATATTTAAAAATGGCTATAAGGGAAAAAAATTGAATTCGACTACCAAATGCTTAAGATCCCACTTCTAAAACTTGGTAAGCAACATAAACATTATGATAGGTATGTAATAGATGAAATGGCTAAGCAGCAAAACAACGTAATATTGAATTAATCTAGGTTGACGTTAAACAATACGTAGCAGACAAAAACTCAACATTTAAATCTGGAGACATTAAAATTCTTTTTGAAGAAGTAATATAATTTCTCCAGAAAAATGGAAAAAGTGTATCGACCATGTTCGCCAAAAAGTTGAAGTAAAAATGTGGGAATTGGATAATATTATAGAGGTTCAAGTAGAACCACTTGTAATTTTGATTAATGAAGATAGCCCTTCAACTCTAACTAATTTATCCGATTCAGAATAGTGCTAAGTCAAGTAAGGAAGATTGCTATAATACAGGGTACAAGGTGTCTAATCTAAATACTAGTAGAACAAGAACAATAAAGAACAAAAGTTGTCAAAAATACAAAAGATTTCTTTTTAAGATGCACAATTTTAAATCAAATACCAAATTCAAATACCAAATACCTCTTATATTTAAAGTTTTTTTAATGCTTTTAGTAGATATATATTAGCTATTAAGGAATTTGCAATTATTTGGACACCCTGTATAATATAATTTTATTATATGATTGTTTTAATGCTCTGTATCACAGTAGACATATGTAATGAACTAAATATAATGCAAACATCTCTTTTAAAGTCAAATACATTTATTAATTTGTATTGCAGGTTAACGCAGTTTATGTCGCTCACTTATCTTTGCCCAAAAATATCACTAAAGTCTGGGAGACCGTGTATGGCATTTATTTTATAGTTTTAGTTTACAAAATATGTTTTTATCGTAATAAAAAAATAATTTCACAATTACACTCTTTTATTTTACATTTTCGCAAGACGGAAAAGTAAAATACGGCCCTGCTCAATTTTAGCGTCAACCTGCTTCTGTTTACATCAGGCGTAAATTAAATTTGAATAGACTTTAGATGCACATGATGAAGACATGTTCGTTAAAAGTCGAAAGCCAGGTTCATGGGCTGGCCAGACGCTAGTACATGCTATGGCTCTAGGAGGAAACGGTATTCGTAGTAACACACTCCATGCTTATGCATACGCAGATTAATTAGGCATTCCAAAATGGCTACCAGTGGGATTTGACAGGTTATGATATGGCAACCCTGTAGGCCTGGAGATTTGACAGGGTCAATGAAATAGATAGTCATATAGATTGGCTATCCACGTTTTCTAAAATAAATATAAGCTTATGCCTTGAAGTAAATATGTAGGTAATTATTTTTTTACTATATTCAAAGGCTGAATATTGATTTGTATACACATTTTTGCAAACCCGATCCTGATTAATGAACACTCTCAAACTACCCGCTTTGAGTAATCTATACAAATATATGTCATTGACCCGTCAATGACAACGATCTACAGCGTTGCCATATCTAAACTGTCAGTTCCCACTTGTCAGTATTTTGACAGTTCGTTGGAATGCCTAATCAAGCATTCCAAACAAAATGGCTATCAGTGGGTTTTGACAGCTAATGATATGGTAAAATTATGGCAACCCTGTAGGCCTGGTGATTTAACAAGGTCAATGAAATAGATAGTTACATAGATTCATCATCCATCTTTTTCAAAATAAACATAAGCTTCTGCCTTGAAGTAAAAATTTAGGTAATCATTTTTTTTACTATATTCAAAGGCTAAATATTGGTTTGTAAACACATTTTTGCAAAATCGATTTTGAATCATGAGCACTTGCGAAGCAATATAGCCGCTCGTAAACGACCCGCTTTGAACAATCTATATAAATATATATCATTGACCCTGTCAATAACAACAGGGTCACAGGGTTGCCATATCTAAATGTCAGTTCTCACTTGTCAGCAATTTGACAGGTCGTTGGAATGCCTAATTGTTTTGTGATTATGACCTTGAAAATTGGGATTTTTAATTAAATTTTTTTCGAAATATACTGCTTCATGCATATATTTTTCGAAAATTTACTATAGAAATTAGTTACTTTTGACGTTTTAAATTTTTTTTGTGAATTTCGCATCTCAGGATCCTTCGCCAGACCCTTATAATGCATAACTGAATTCTACAAAATTTAATTTTAAATGTGTTTATTACCTGGAATGTCTGGAATCTCTAATAGGAGGTCTGCATTCATTTCTTCTACTGGAATCCTCATATCTTCTGCGTGCAAAATCTTCTCTTTTTGAGTTATCCTCATATCGATCTGACTTTCTTTCTCTTCTGTCGTCCATTCTTCTTCTTCTAGGTGACCGTGACCTTAATCGATTTGGTCTTTCTCTATGTGGGCTTAATGACCTTGAGGGTGGCCTAAATTTCTTCTCTCTACTTGGAGTAGGTCTCGATTCTTTTTTGTCCTTTCGACTTGGTGATCTAGAAGAAAGATATTTTTCCTTGTTATCTTGTTTTCTGGACTCTAAACGATTTGGATTATAAGAATCTTCTAATGGAGATTTTGTTCTAGATTTTTCATGTTTTCTTTTTGAAGATTTTAGTAATTCTGAATTTGATAAATCTCTTCCATTATTTTCTTTATGATAATTTTTATAACCCATCTGATTTTTTGGTTTTTGGGTTTTAGTTTTGTAATTACCTTTAACAAAAATGTAATCATAGATAATAAAGATATACAAATAAATTATATTTATAATCAAATATCATAGACGTGGAGAGTATTAGATTAAAAACAAATTTTGAGTTAGTACCGTTAAATAGAATTTCTTTACATCTTTTTAAAACAATTTTTTGCTTTTCTGGGGTCGACTTTATTACAGAAGTATCCACAAAAAATGTTTCTAAAGTAAGCCATAACTAACAAAGACAGAGATATGAGTTATGTCGGTGATAAATATGAACGCCTCTGGATTAAATCCAAGTCATTAAAAAAAGAAAAATTGAACGCTTAGACATGTAAGTAATTTTTTCAATGGCCTAGGAGAAACATTTTTGTGAATAACTTCATATTAATTGTCACCTGTTATACCTAGATGTACATTTTTACTTTCCTATCTGTATACAGATATAAGGAAAGTATAGGAATCATGATTTTTTTCGACATCGAGTTTTCGACGGATTTTTACGTTTCGAGGTCCCCTGAATCCGTTTTGACTATTTTCGCGATGATGTCTGTGTGTGTGTCTGTGTGTCGCATAACTCATGAACCGATACACAGAAAAACACCAAATTTCAAACTTAAGCTTTGTTCCAGCGTCTAATGTGCTGATTAGATTTTGGGCAGTGTCGGAACATCTGGGGGGGTACTTTATGGGTGGTCATTTTTATATTTTATGGAATATATCTGTTATTTACGTTTGGGGAAGAAAATTCTTCAAATAAAAGTTACTTCTTATATTATTATCTAAAATTTTTATTCTATACAACATTTTCCTAAAATGGTCCGTATTCGAGAAATTTGACAAAATTTAAAAAAATATTTTTTTATAAAAATTATTCAAACAAAAGTTGTTTGTAATATAATTCTCTATCATTTTTATCCTATACATAATTTCTCTAAAATGGACCGTATTCAAGATATTTGAGAAAATGTGTAAATTTTGAAATTTGAAGAAAACTCAAAAACGGATAAAGAAAAAAACATTAAATTTTAAACTTAAGTTTTATTTCGGCCTGACGTGAAATGATTAGATTTTGGACAAAGTCGGAACATCTGGGGGGGTACTTTATAGGGGGCCGTTTTTATATTTTATGGAATATATCTGTTATTTATGTTTGGAGAAAAAAATTGTTCAAATAAAAGTTATTTCTAATATTATTATCTAGAATTTTTGCTTTATATCAAAATTTCCTGAAATGGTCCGTATTCTATAAATTTGACAAAATGTGCAAAATTCTGATTTTTATGAAAATCGTTGAAATAAAAGTTGTTTGCGATATCGATCTCTATAATTTTTGTTCATAGTGCTAAATTTAAATTTTTCAGTATTTTCATTTTCAATGAATATCTATAGAAAAATGTTTCGAGATAGATGTATGTGGAAAATGTATATATTTATTTTATCCTCTAAACATTTATGGAGGTGCTGCAATAGGTTGTACAAAATAACCGGAAAAAGCCTGTAATAACTAGATAGGAAAGTCATGTGTTGGACACATCAGATTTTTATAGTAAGGTTTTTGGGTGGAAAATTGTCCTTTTCATTCATTATTTCATAAATTCAGAAATTTCTTTACTTTTTTCATTAAAAAAACAAAGTATCTAATTATAGAAGTTTTTAAGCTACAAAAATAAGGATACCTTTTCATGTAGGTACACTTTTTGAAAAAACATTATTCAGTTATGTACAATAAAAGAGGGCAAAGATTGTTGTACAAAAATATTTTGCCGATTATTAAAATGTTTACTCATTAAGTATTGCATTATTGTGTTTTATAAGCCACAAGTTTCTAGTAATACAAAGTCCACTTGACGTACGTATTTACATAACTTTTACTTTAAATTACTAGAAAAAGGTTGTCAAACCATAACAGTACCTTTTTTGTATGGACTGGACCAGGGAAATAGTATTAAAGATTATTACAATTATAATCTGACATTCTCTAAAACTACCCATTTGGTAAAATGCAATTAATAGTCCAGTGTTTGACGGTTTTTCGCTCCGAATTTTTCGGTCTAAACCAATTGAGGTGAAATTTCGATAGTAAGTAAGAAATGGCTTAAAGAAAAAAATATTATCTAGTGCCAATTTGTGCATTCACCATAGGAAGTGGGTGCCAACCCTAATTGGGGGTAGAAATTAATAAACTCAAGGGAACTGCAAATATTGATAGAATGAAGATTCTAAGAAAAAAATGTTCTCTAAAGTTTTTTCGATAAAGGAATATTTTTCGAGTTATTTGATTTTTATTAAAAAAATACATATTTTATAGTGATTTTTTATAAATAACTCAAAAATTTAATCTTATATCGAAAAAATCATGAAAAACAATTAAAATATTTTTAAAAAACGTATCGAATATATTTTTTTTGTCTGCAGATGCAATATGAACAGATTTATGGCTTGTTAAAGGTGACTGTTTGTATTTTAATATTAAATAATGAGAAAACGACAAATTCTTAGAGGAAAACTTATCAGAGCCTTTTAAAGTACTTAAATCGTTAACATGAAAATAAAGTGACTATCCTTTTTCCGAAGAAAAATTCAGTGATGAGTCCGATGACTTATTCACAAGAATTAAAATTATAAGTATGTAATCCAGTTAAAATTAACTAATATTTAGACACCAACAATATTTTCTAGAAATTCGAACAGTTTAGAATGCTTAGATTGGAAAAAATTTGATACAATTTCGAGACAATTTTGAAATTATTTTTGAAAATTTATAAAAAATATTCTTCTCAAAAACTTTTATACAAAAAATACAAGAGTTGAAAAATTTTGGTTTTTTAAAAAACGATTTGATTTATTTTTTATTTTTGCAGGGTAAAAATTACTTGAGATATCACCAATTTTAGTTTGTATTTGACTGCGAAACCACCGTCTTGTATTGAAATGCAGTACACTAAATTTAATTTGGGATAGCAGGTCTGGACAGTCCAATAAATTATTAACTAATTTATATATAAAAGTTATGCCCCGCAGTACAGCATTGTCAATTCCCCTTTCCGGATAAATCCCATCAATTTTAAATGAAACGTATTTCATAAATCTGCAATGATAGATTCAATAAGTAACTTATGGGATATATACATGGGTGACCATATCAGTGCCCCATATTCAAGACGTGATCTTACAAATGAGTTGAATAATACAATTAGACAGTCTATATTTCTGAAATCCTTACAACTTCTCAAAATGAGCTCAAGCATTCTCTTAGCTGTGAATGTAATGTTAAATACATGAGGTAAAAAACTTAACTTCTTATCCAATTCGACTCCCAAATCCTTTATTGTCTCCACTTCCTCAAGTGGTTTATTCTGTATTCAGTAGTCAAACTGGATGTTATTCAAGCGTTTGTTTGAAAATCTCATGAACTTGCATTTTTGAATGTTAAGAGGAAATTTATTAGTAATACACCAATTATTTAATTTATTTAAATCATTTTGTGAGTCTATGCAATCGTCTTGTGAATTTATGGTACAAATAAAATTTGAAATCATCGGCAAATATTATATATTCCTTCTTAAACTTTTTGGCTGTCATTAATAAAAATTGAAAGTAATAATGGAGCCAGATTGCTTCCTTGAGGCGCTCCACTGTTAGAAACAAAAAAAGTTTGATTTGTGACCCTTATATTCAACATAAAGTGAGCAAGCAGTTAAATATGACTTAAAAAAAGTCGAGGCTATGGGAATCGAAACCAAGATTATATAATTCCTGCAAAAGAATACTGTGATCTAACCTATGAAAGTTTTTGAGAAGTCTGTATATATTGTATGAACTTCTAGTTGTTCATCATAAATTGATTGGTGGACATTCATCATTTTAATTTATTTTTTACTTATGGATTTCCTTATAAATTTCCAACAAGAGTACATGATTTATTTAAACTTCATGAAAAAAATTAAAATTATAGTCCAAATAAATGGTTGGAGGGTGGCGAAAAATTTAGAAGGAATGAAGGTGTTACTCAACCTTGCCGTACACCACTGGCAAAGTTTAGTTAACACTAAAAACGTTTGCTCAGTGCAATTTAAAAAAAAAAAAATCAAAATTAAAAAACAAATTAAAATGAAGAATATCCACTAAGAGTGATTATCTCGAAAACCAATAACTTTATGAGTTAAGAAGTACCTACATGATTTACTTAAAAAAAAATTAAAAGTAAGTATAGTCCAAATAAGTTTTTGGACAGTGGGGTAAAATTTAGAGGGGATGAAAGTGTTACTTATCCATGTTGTATGTCACTAGTAAAGTTTATTTAACTGATTGTTTTACCGATAGGTATATCTTATAAAACCAACAATGTTTACCACATTTTAGTAAAATAATTATAGTGAGAAATGAGAAATAAAAAAATTATGGTCATTAATAATTTTTGAATTTTGAACTTTAACACCCTGTATTTCGGAAACCAGTAACATTTTATCTAAGCATGTTTTGTTTAATTATCTTATATTTAATCATAGAATCTTCAGTTGTTCTGTGACCCGTTCTTAATTAAATATCCTGTATAAAACTGAATGAAATTTATATGGAGGCTCAGAGGAGATACATGGAAATCCAAATAATCTCCATGGATATTTATGGAGTTACATAAAGATCTCCATAAATGGAGATTTTTTGTCCTAAAAAATCACAAGTGACTACTCCCTTGGATAAACTTTGTATTTTTAAAATATTTTTTTATTATTTACCTGTTCCAATATCATTGCTTCCCAGTTTAGTCTTTCTCCCATCTTCATCATAATGTGTCACACCTCTACCTTTACCATGCCATATTACCTTAGAAACACTCTGGCTGAAGTCTACATGAATTCTACGATCATCTATAAGTATATTATCCATCTTAAAATAGGCATCCTCACAGGACTTTCTATCAGCAAACTCAATAAAAGCATATTGAAGGGAGTCTCCAGTTTTTCTATCTCTAATAACCTCACATGAAACGATTTTACCAAATCTGTTAAATATTATTTCTAAGTCATCATCTGTAGTTACTGGATTAAGTTTACAAACAAACAATACATTTTCAGGTGGTGCCATTTCAGCATCTGGTAGATCACCTACCATTTCTAAAATAGTGGCTCTAGCCTTAGCTTCACGTTCAGCCTGCAATTCAGCAACTTCTTGTGCACTTTTTCCTTCCGTTTCATCGACATCCTCATCAGGCGCAATCCGACCCCCTTGTAGTCTTTCAGAACTAGGAGAAGGAGACCTGGATGGCACCCTCAATCTTTTTGGATCAGGATAAGGATCATCTAAGACAACTGTGTGAGTAATACGAACATCTTGATAAGGTCTATCATCTGTATCACAAATAACTTCATTTATAATTTCTAAAATATCCAATCCTTCGACCACTTCTCCAAAAACACAATGCTTCTGATCTAAATAGATTAAATCTTCACCTAGGGTGATAAAAAATTGTGATCCTATCATACGTTCATCATTTCCAACGAACGAAATGAGGCCCATTTTTGTATGTTTAATTCTAGGTTCGGTTTCTCCTTCAAAATATCTCTTGTCTGGACCATCTAAAACACCATAAAAGGACTCTCCCCCTTTACGAGATCCAGTAGGATCTCCAGTTTGCGCTATAAATCCACGACTTATTGTGTGGAATAAGTTATAATTGTAGTATTTTATTTTGCACAGCTTTAGAAAGTTCAAGCAGGCTCTAGGTCTATCAGATAAATATAAATCAACGGTTATATCGCCTAGGGTTGTTTCGATTACTACCGACATTTTGAGGGTAATGTATTTTATTTATATTCTAATAAGATGCTTTTAATCATTAAGTTTTTAATTATTTCAAATAACTATCAAACAAAATACCTGTCATGTCATCAAATAACCAAAATTAACAACACAACAATCTGACAATCAACTTTCAACGAGATGTGATAGAGGTTAATCATCTCTTCCTTATTCTTTAATAATGGCCTTTAAAAATGTGTTATTCGGCTAAAAATTTAATCGATGGCCTTTTATAAGCTACAGTCTACAGATCTCGATTAAAGTAAACGTAAACCCGACGTGAACTCGACCTTTGAAGGTGTATAGGATGAGTCATAACTACTGAGACATATACAGGGTGTTCATTAATGATATACGTATATGTAAGTGTGAATCTACATGAAACATTAATGATTGTTTGCCTTATATACTACGATGCAAAAATATTCCGGGTTCAGTTACGAAAATACAGGGTGCTAAAGTTTTACTAAAAAACAGAAATTGATGTAATTCGAAACCTCTAATTAACATCTAGATCAGGGTTACCAGGTTTTTGAAAGAGATGACGGACAGACAAGGAATTTTAGAAAAACTACTCTGTCTATTTTAATTTTTTTAACCAAAATTACTTATTTTGTAAAAAATCCGTACCTATTTTTTGGTAAAGATAGACTGAGGTGTTTCAAATAATAAGGTGAAAATGTTTTCTGACTTTGGATTTCGATTTGCGATTTCTCGATTTTCTAACTTTACATTTTCACCTTATTATTTGTAAAATAACCTCAGTTTATCTTTACCAAAATTAGGTAAGGATTTCTTGCAAAATAAGTAATTTTGATTAAAAGAGTAAAAATAGACCGAGTTGTTTTTACTTCCCCCCTTTTTATTTTTCTATGCTTCCCCCTATTTCCCCTAAAATCCCCTGTCTGTCCGTCATCTCTTTCAAAAACCTCTGGTAACCCTGATCTAGATGTATTGCAAAATTGTATTCTTTAATAATTACATTAATTTTCTCGGACAAAACAACGCAACGGTTTTTATTTCTTTACTCAAAAACAGCGCATCGCAGAACAACATCTCGGAAAGAACTTTTATATATATTTTAAATTCAATGGGGAATTTTAAAATGCCTAAGTATCTATTTAAAAATAATGGTAACTTTAAAAAAAGTACTGGCTTACTTGTCGTTTCTAATTTCACAAAATATAAATTTATTTTTAAATTTTTTTTATTAATTTACACAATTTACTTATTTTTTTTATTTATTCACGAGCATTTGTTCATTAGAGTAAGTAAATATTTGATAACATAATAATAATAAATATAACTCTAAATAAAATTAACAATTAAAACATAAGACAAATTGAATTACGCGCTCTTTCACCTTGACCGGAACATGGTTCAACGATCGAAGCGATTGTTTTTATTATGCTTTGTCTTTTTTCAACAGTAGAATTTAAACAAGGACGTGTATCTGAATGTGAGTATTATTGAGGTTCCGTGGTTCGTGGCGTTCTGCGTTGTCCTTTCCTTGTCATTTGTCGTTGATGTTGAAGATGAAAGCCGAGAGGTTAGTTTTTGTTGGTTATTCGTTGATTTATTTATTTGTGTCTTGTGCCGTGGATTACTGTGAATTTATAAGCATAAAAGTTTACTGCATATACTGAAAAACCAAATAGAAGAACCCTTATTAGTGTTTTAAGTACGTCTAGGCGTCTAGAGCTGACTTAGAAGCTTCATCGGATGTAAATATATCTGAATTAGAGTTGAAAGTACAGGAAGATTGCCATTCTTTGACCACCCTTAACCCATACTGAAAATCCTATTGACAGAGTGAGCTATAACGCATAATATTTTACACAACGCAGTTAAAATTATTGCAACCCAGACTGGCTCAGAAGAGCATCCGACAGAAGATTAACCACTAACGGAGGAAGAATAAAAAAAAAATAATTTGTAATATTACTTTTTTTAACGAAATGTTTCAGTGTTTTGTTAATAATAATGTTTATAGAAAATATGTGTTTTATTTTGTATAAAAGGAATTTACAGAAGCTTTTAAAACTAAATCCGAGAGTACGTCTTACCAATGTCGAAAAACAGACATACTCAAGATGTCTTAAGAACGTTACCTTTTGTAACATCAGACGTCTTAAAGATGTCTTTAAGACGTCTGGCCGGCGTCATAAGACGTCTTTTAGACGTCTGTCATGTCTCTGACAGACGTCTTATGGACGTCTTAAAGATGTCTTTGTGCTGTCTGGGACGTGACTTTCAGGTCGATACTCATGCTCAGTAAATAGCTGTCATTGCCGAGTAGCATTAATTACCATTACCTTATAGTCAGGGTCGACTTTATTTATTAAATTATTTTATACCCCCACTAAACATCTGACAGGTTAAAACGACTAAACCGACAATTCCGGAAGCAGAAGCGGATGATTAAAACGCACCTGATATTTTGCTTGCTGCTGTCAGTGTCAGTAAATATTATTTTTGGAGTCACAGTTTATTGCTAAAGAATCAGTTAGCTCACTCGGACCAGTTGAAAGTTCCAAAATAACATCCACTCCAGGGATACAAATCCAGGATACGCAGAAGACTGCTGTTTTATTATAGGCGGTTGTCATATATTGTATTATCCGAGTTGCGCAGTGTATAAACTGGAACATTGACAGAGTGAGCGATCTGATTCTTTAGCTATAAACTGTGTCATAGGGTTCAAAATGGCCGCGCCCTATGTAGGGCGTGTCGGACCTCTCTCTTGCCCCGTATAGTAATCAAAGTATGTGGTCGGACCTCTCTCTTGCACCGTATAGTAATCCAAGTATGTGACTGGTGGAGACTTTCTCCACCAGGGGGGCTATTTTCAAAGTATAGGAGCACTCATTTCTCTCAAGATTCTCATCAGAAATGTCATACGTCAATGTGGAAACGCTGTTTTTAAAGGCCTCGAGGATTAAAAATCTTAGGAGGATATTAATTATCTCTAAATAAACCGTGAGAAACAATCAGTGAGTTCACACTGGCCCTTAGGACCCTAAAAATTACTGTTTTACGTTGACGTATGACATTTCTCTCGAGAGAAATGAATTCTCTCGACTTTGAAAATAGCCCCCCAGCTATTAGTATGAGAGCCCACTGCGAATTTCGACCGTCATCTGATAACGAAATGAAATATGCTCCAAAGGCATTTAACAACTTTGTACTTTACCAAATTGCACCTGTGCCAATCCCTATCCTGAGCAGAAGTAGTTAAAAAAAATTATTTTATATTTAAAAAATCACATAAGACATGACAGCGACAATTGTGTTTTCCCTGAAAATTACCATCCTAATTCATTGTGAACCTTAGATAAAAGAGACCGGAGATGTATACATTGCACATCGCGCACGTTGTCTATTCCAACCCTAAGTAACGACGCCACCCGAATTGCTCCGAAATTTCTATACTATGCTTGTCTCCGCGTGAGTAAATCATTTATGGACCGCCGTTTGTTGAATTATTTGTTGGTGTTATTAGCAATTTAAAGTGTTTTAGTCATTCAATTTCAAGTTGAAAATGCCACGATGTATGGTGAAAAGTTGTATATACAAATAATATAAGTGCCAATGTCATGAAAAATATAAGAAATATATTCGTTTTCAGCGGTAAATATTTGTTGACGTTTTGACATAAAGTCACCATGAATCTTTGAGCTGAATACTTCAGATCCGCATTAAGGGGTTTCAATAAATATTAAGCATCAAATACATAATATTTCAAAAAATAGATTTCGTAATACATTAATTTACAAAAGAGTAAAATTTTAAACATTTAATGTAAATAAGAAGTAAATAGGCATTGGTACTAACGAAATTTTGTTTTTAAAAAGTAGATTTATAAGAATATTTACTAAATGTGGTTTTTAGCCTTTTATTAGGTATTTTTACAGGAATATAAGATGAAATACAGGTTGACCTACTTAAAATTTCAAGATTAATTTTATTTGAGGTTAAATCGGAAGTACATTTGAATCGTAAGTCTTAAAACAAAGTAAAACGCGCAATATGATCTAGTATAAGCAAAAAAATACTAAAGTTACGGAAAATAGTCATATTATTAGTAAAATGTTACATTATAAACCCCTAAACAACTCGAAAAAAACCTTCGTTTACTAAAAAAATCTAAATTCTAGCAATATTAATTATACAATCGAATGCGGTTTTAAAGATAACAGGATCAATAAATCCGAATCTCTAAATGCTCTGATAAAAGCATGCGACCGATAGGGGTTACAAAAATAATCGATTTATCGTTTTCATGAAAATCGATTTATCCGTTATAATTAATCGATTATTTTTAATCGATTATTTTTCATTAATCGAACATTTTCAAAAAATTGTTTTCGTTTTTTTAGGTAATGGAATAATCGATTATAAAGGAATTACAAAAAGAGTAGATTTATTCAAAATATTCGATTTATTGAAAATAATCAATTTTTTTAGAAAAATCGATTTACTCTTTAATCGACTTTTTAAATTAATCGATTATTTTCGATTTACCGAATATTTTCGATTAATAGATTATTTTCGATTAATCGATTATTCTCGATTTTTCAAAGGTATTGGAATAATTTGTTTTAAAATACAAGAAATAATCAATTTTAAAAGGAATATGAAAAAAGAAAAGGATTATTTGTAAATAATCAATAATTCAGTTATTTGTTTTTTTTTTGGAAAATCGATTTATCGTAGAATTGGCTTCTTGATTAATTGGTTATTTTCGCTAAATCGATTATTTTTGATTAAGCGATTATTTTCGATTGTTCAAAAATGATCGAATAATTGATTTTAAAGGAAATAATTCTTTTTTTTTTTTTGAAAAATCGATTTATCGATTATTCAACTTTTTAAATAATCGATTATTTTTGATTAATCGATTATTTTTGATTAATCGATTAATTTAGATTTTTCAAAGATAATCAAGTAGTTGATTTTAAAGGAAATACGAACAAAAATAGATTGTTTAAAAATAATCGATTGATCGAAAATAATCGATTATTATTAATGATCAATAATTTATTTCGATAATCACCCACTCCTAGCGAACAAATGACTTTTAATAGGTTTAAATTTTAAAATGTTATCTGCTTTCAGACATATGCATTTCTAGAGTTTTATGTGACTCATCTTCTAT